TCCCTACAGACACTAATACAGAAAAGAAACATGGCACCATCAAACCTGTCAATATTTATTTTACTGGAACCTTAAAAGGGACTGGAAAATGACATCAGATTAAACATCAATTGGAGAGGGGATGGAATAATCTAGCAAGACTTTAATCCCTTTACCTAGTGCTCCTGCACGATACTAACACATTTTACTGTTCTAAGCAGCACCTAGAATAAAAGATCCAGTGAAGGGCATTATCAAATTGCAGCAGAATAATAAAGTTTGTCTGTCTCTGATAAGAGTTGCTGCTGCATTACTGCTAACTAAAAAGAGGATTCTCTCCCCCACACACACCTACAAATCTTCAGCCCTCCCACCTTCATTTGTCCCGTAAAGCATTTAACAGAAATAGCTATTTTTAGAAAGGATGAAATCTCAGCATACCTTCAAATCAAGTGCTTCCGATGTGCAGCAAGATCATTGCCGAGAGAGAGCTGCAGTCTACTGTGTCAAATTACAGCCTTGGAGAGAAAGGCGGCAGCGTCGGCAGCAGCAGCATTGGTGTGTTTGCACTGCTAGCATTCAGGCTAGAAATGATTCATTAGTTGTCTGCAGGGAGGCAGGATGAAAAAGAGAGAGCAAGCATCATCGGCCATGCAGCAGCTGCCAGAGCCTATGAAACAGCAGTGCTCGCACACACATACGCACACAAAGATGGCTTTCCCTATTTGCCAGTTTCTCTTTCACATAGTATTAACCCCGACGCAGCAGCAGGCAGCACGGACAGGAGCCGACGAGCAGCAAGTGGGATCGCAGCAAGGGTGTGTTTCACTGAGGGGGGGCGGGGGGAAGCCGGGTGTTGGGAGATTTTATTTTACCTCCAAGTAATGCTGTCACAGGATCTTCTCAGTAGGTCATCTGTGGCCTACTGGCACGAACCAATGAACTGTAAATGTGAGCTGCATTTTTTTTTTTTTTTTCACTTCCAAGCCTGCCCAATGGAAGGCTTAGAAACTAAAATGCAGAAGGGTATTAAGACAGATTACCTGGAGCATCCTAACCATTCTGTCTTTCCTCTTCTCAAGAAAACTCTGTATAATACACTCACACAAAACTTCTAAGTGTGCAATGACCATCTATTTACCCAGCAAACAGAGGGAGACACTGTAAGGGGATACAGGAAAGATCTTAAATAATTTTATAGAAAAATTTTATAGCTTTAACCTCTCCCACCCCTCCCAGCAGAAATTATGACTCAGATTCTGACCACTTTGAGAGTCCATTCACTGTAACATAACTGAATTCTCAAGGCTGACTGAGCTTAAATTATCAAGAAAACATATAGATTTTGAGGTGCAACTTCTCTATTTTCCTTTCAGTATTATACAGTGGAAGGAAATATTGCACTCTCAAGGCACTATTGTATTGAAGTCTGTTAAAGTATCTGAATACATCTCTCAATTTAATAATCTCCCCTTTATCTCAAAAATTAAGTGTTCATGCAACTGAAAGAGGCAATATTAATTTACAGATCCTTATAAAATATCAGTCTTCCCCCCATTTTACTTATAGGCATAATGAGGAAGAAAGTGATGATTTTCTGGAAAGTCTGGCATTAGTAAAAGCAGCCAGATTTCCCCCGAAGTCCAATAATTCGTCATAAAGTTGAAATGCATGCAGACAAGCCTCACCCCCAATAACTGTTTGCACCATATGCTTCACTGGGAGGTATTAAGAGCCACGGAAGAAGGGCTTGTCAGATGATCTCTTTCTTACAGTTTGTCTTACCTGGATTTCCAGTCTGTGATATATTTGAAACTGGTTTTCTAAACAGAAAGTCCAGCATCTAAAAACCTGGTATATACATCCACTCGTTTGTGTATATCTCAGCCCCAGATGACCTTGACTGAGATTACTCAAGACTGTAGTGGGAACAACTCTGGTATCTTCTGAGAGAAAAGCTGTCCGTACTCAGATCATATGTTCCTTCCCAGACTAGATTATGACTTTGATCATAAGACAAGTGCACTTTTACTTTTATAACCAGTTTTTGTAATTTTTAAATATTTTTTTTTTAAATATGAGTTTGGCAAGCTATTTTTTTTTTTCCTCAGCTGAACTACGTGCGCCTTCAAATCCAAACATTCCTTCTGACGATGACTGTGTCTTACCATACTGTGCTTCAGCAATAAATACATATTTGCAGCATATGACACACAGAGATACAAGAAGATTCCAGGTGACACACGTTAGAAATCTACCTTGTCGAGGCTGGAGACTAGATGAACATACCTGTTGCTTTATATGCATTTGTACAAACAAAAAAGGTACTTTACTAAGCCAACTTGATACTTGAAAATAAGTCAGATCACCGTGAAATTATTTAAAATGCATATTTGTAAATGGATGTGGGGGTATGTTTATGTATAAAATATGTAAATTATAATAAACTTTCTGGAAATCTTGTTTTAAAAATATGGAAAATTATAGTAATACTTTGTCACTCTGAAAATAAAATAGCAACTAATTTTTAAACTATAAGCACAGATCCACTGCTGTGAAGATTTTAAAACATTTTTTTTTTTATCTCAAGTAAACATTTAGAAATTTGAGTCACCAAAAATCAGCATAATCAACCTGTTATGCCATCGCAGATGAGAACTCACATTTGAGTGGAACTGTAAGATGTTAGGACATTGTTAACATAAACAGTTGATTATTAATTTGGGAGTTGACATGGCCAAATATCAGCATCAAGTATATACTTTCATAGCAATTCTTGCCTGTTAGGGCTGGGTGCAGTAATGCTGATGATGGGCTGCTGGTAACTCGGAGTGCATATGTAATAGTGTTGCTGAGAGAGGAAATTAACTGTTCTGTGTGCTAGACCAAGAAATCCCCCCAGAGTAACAATCCCAGTATAACAATCCTACTTTCTGATAAACAGTTTTCTTTAGAAAAAGAGATAGATATCTTTCTGTACATGTTAGGGCTCTATGAAATGTCCTTTTAACTATGGAACCTCTCACCGGCTGTAATGAATTTCATGTTCTTTCTGTTCTTTCTGAAGTACATGAAACAATTATTTAATATACCTCCTAAAAGATGAATTTTCTTCTTAGTACCCTTAGTATTTCAATAAAAAAGCCAAAACTCCACTTTGGACACTGAGGTGGACTGAAAGAATAATAAAGGATCTTACCTTGCTAGCTGCCAAGACACACACAGGGCCTCCTCTGGAGATAAAGGACAGCTGTCTCTGAAGCCACAACAACTCTCTCTGGGACTGTTTCAGTAACTGTTCTGTGTCTCCTGGCTTCTGCCCCATCAGCCCTTCCTGCATGACAGGAAAGTTTCGATTTCTGTTTTCTCAAATACATGGAGACATTAGCATATGATATGTCGTAGCCAAATTTCTAACTAAACTAGAACATCGGCTATAGCAATTTATCTATATTTATGCATGCAACTTCTTATGCTTAACTTAATATCCGCTGCCATATAAAAAGCGAGTGACTCTTCATAGCATCAGCAGCACATGCTACACTTTGAGCACCCTAAATAGTTCAAGGTTAGTAAACTTCCTCTGGCTGTAATCAAGCCAGGTTAGGTTGAGGTGGAAAACAACATGGGCAACTCCATGCCTTTGGAAACTGGAAGAAGTAACAACGAGCTCAGAAATGCTGCTGATAGGGCACAAAACTTGTAGAAAACAATACTGAGAAGAGTCTGATGCTATAACTAAAACTATAGGAATGCCACTAAGTAATGCAAAGTACAAAATCATATCCGTAGTGAAAGTCTTAACTTGTAGCTAAAACAGAAGTATTGTGAATTCAGACCAAAAATCTCTTCTAGACATGTAATTTGCAAAATATTTAATACCAGTAAGTTATCTGCTTAGGCAAAACTTGGGAAAAAAAACACAATATTTTTTTTCTACTTGATTTTAACACCTCTATGAACTACTTTCAATGTAACTGTTGACCAGCACACTTAGACATTAAGAACAAAACTAGATTTTTACATACCCTCAGGCACCCAAGCTGATTTTTGAGTTCTTCGCACTCCACTTGCAGCAGTTGGATCTCCAAATCTTTTCTACTTTTGGATTTTTTGTTGCTATTTTGCAAATGCTGGGCCTTAACATTGACAAAGTGCTTTTTCTGCTTTAGAGGAAGTGTTCTGGTAATTGTCTGTGTGATGACAGCAGTGTTACTGGATGACAATGTCAACGAAGTTGAAGGGCTGACATCCTGATAAAGAGACAATATATTTTTCATGTTGTTTTTGCTAAAGCTTTGTCTGAGGGAAACAGTATAATTCAAATTCTTTCAAAAGACATACCATAAGTGCATTGTTTGAAAATTTGATTCTTCAGATCTTTTATTCAAACAGTAAGTGAACAAGAGACAATCTCACTTGATCAATCAACAGTAAGGAGATAGGGATAACAAAAAGAAATGGAAACCAGACAGCTTCTCTTAAATATATTATTTTGATTCATTCAGTAGGTGCCAGTGAACCATGATTAACCTGACTAGATAGATATTGGTGTGTTTACCACTTGATGGCAACATAGTGCTGCTGCTCAACAACTACCTTCATGACCTTCACCCTGCATTGTATCACACAGCTAATTAAGAAATTATCCTCATTGCTGAAAACACACCACTCTTGGAAGCTGTGCTCCAGTTACATCTGAGGTGCTGTATCCCGAAAGATATGTTTGATCATACCGCAAACTCTTCACTGGAAATCAGCTGTCATAGAGTCAAATTTACGTATAAAGAAACTGAAAGTCCCTTCTTCAAGATCAGGCAGTTCACAGCTCTTTATGTCCCAAGCCTTCTTGCTCTCCACCCAGTGATTAAGTTACTTCTTGACCTGTCCCAATGGGCTCTCTTGTGCAGCAAGTTAGTACGCCACTTCAGCAGCAGTATGAGAACCTAGCCCAGTGACACAGGTTCATTCAGCAAGTTAATGCTCAGCATCTTGTAAGAAAATTAGTTTTGATTAGGAGGATCTATCTGTACTGCTAAAACAATCAGATATTAGGTGCTTCAGTGTAAGAGCCTCACAGTCTTCCAGACACTCACAGAAGCTCTGCTGCTGGATACACAGCCATTTTGCTAAAACAAAATGCATTCCTAGAAGTCAATGTAATTGTAACAGAAATTCCCCTTCATTGATCTATTTCTTTTAGCTTTTTTTAACCAAAAGAGTCCAGATACCTTTATATATGGAAAATGCACAAAAAAAATATTCTGTGCAGGAAATTAAGCTGTTTGCTACCCCCATCAGCTATCCAGATCCCATTTCTTCTAAGATTTAGCCACCCTTCTCAAAATCCATTATCACTGAACAAGTTACTAATTTCTCAACACAGTCTTCTTTAACAAAGAAATAATATTTTTTGTCATATTCAGCTAATAATTTTAATATGGTTGAGAGCTGACATTATAATTTAAGATTGTGTAGGATTTTAGTTACAGCAGCTGAACATTCTTTTGGTCATCACTTCGCTTAAATTTTGTTCTTGTATTTCACACCTAATTTTAGAGAGAAAACCTAAATTCTCAGTTCATTATTTTGTGATGTGCAAACCCCAAAGTCTATAATGGAAGCGTTCTTATTTTCCTTGTGAAAATTTTGCCTGTTTTTCTCTTTCGTTGTTGTTTTTTTTTTCCCTCTGTTTGGGCTGCGCTCAGTGTCGTTTTTCTCACGTGTACCTTTTGATGAAGGCCCAGATGCTGATCTCCGGTGAAAAAACAAAATGAAGCCTTCAATTGATCTGAACTGCCCTTTCACAGTGCTCCCAGGGCTGTTTCTCACATTTTTTACCTCAGTCTGTGCAGGTTTTGCCCTTTCTTACACCTGCTTCCCCCGAGGCACCCGAGGGGCTCAGCTGCGCCTGTGGGGCGGCGGGAACCAGCTGGAACTGCCTCCTCACAGAGGCGCCTGAGCCCCCTCGGCTGCCTGAGCCCAGGCATGGATATTCAGTACACGCATTTAAAACACAGTTAATCTGTAAATCAGAGGAGAACCTCAGCTGAAGAGGCCAGCGTTCTTCATCTCCTACATCGAGTAAATCCCAACAAGCAGCCTTGCAGTGTGAGGGAGGCAGCAAATGACCTAACGAGATACAGCTGTGTCAGCTGCATCAACGTCAACAGGCATTTCCTTTTCAAAGCCAAAAAGGCTCAAACTTTTGAATAATGAAAACTTTACTGCCCCAAACTGGAATACTGGTAGATTCTCACAAATAAATCCTGACACTGACTTCAAAAGAGTAAGTCAGGTATTAGTCTCCAGCAAATGCGGTTTCCATGCTCTGAAACAATTAATTTTGTCATGAATGAAAAGAGCGAGAAAAACGGAATCAAACTGTGATGTTACATCTGCTAAATCTGCACATGAATATTTAATAGGCAAGTTTCTTCTATTAACCATTAAACTGTTGAGTAAATGATACAGTTAAAAGTCTGAGAGTTGCCAAACACTTCAGTGTTTATTGATTTTTTAAAAATAATTTTTATTATGTTCACATATCTTGAAGGAAGAAGCATTGAAAGCTCTGGAGATTGAACCCATTAGTGGATAGAAGAGATGAATCAGAGTAAACATCAGATAAAGTTCCCTATCCCTAAAGCACCCCGGTGTCATTGGAAAGACAGTTTTTCTGTAGATAAACAGGGTGGTCTGTCTCAATCACAAGGGCATCCTCAGGTTACCCTCACCACTTTTTCTATGCCTATCTCAGACACGTTTCTTTTTGGGAAGGTGTTGATCCGTCTTTCACAAGCTTCATGTGCAAATAAATATGCGGGAATCATGACAAAAGGAATTTGACATTAGCCTGTAATGCTTTTATTGTGAGATTACTTCAAATGGAACAATATTTTAAATTGGGTATTTTACAATGAAAGCAATAAGTAACAGTAATTAGAAGAGTAAAAAAAACCAACAACAAACCAAACAAACAACAAATCATAGTGGTGTAGTTCTGTAACTGATTCACATTCATAGCAAAACTCCTAAAACTGCAAAGTAATTTGTGCTGGACCATAAAAACAAAGTATACGTATCAGGGAAGCAAAACATGAAATAAATCTCAGTGTGTCAGGTGCCAGGGAGGGTGCAGACATCTCCCCCAACATATCGTCACTTCTGATTTGATCCAGTGCCATGACAGCTGTTTCAGCACTTGAGAGTAAAGCCACTGGAAGATTTTAGGGCATTTAACACTCACCTTGCTCTTCTTAACAGTTATTGAGCTACTTTTCTGTTTGCCTCTGCCCTCAGATGTGATGTGTGGAGGCTTTTCAGATGTTTGTTTTTCTTTCTTGTTGCCCTTTTTGGACTGTGGAACAAATTCATCAATAGATCATTAAAGTATACTACAACACATCTAAAATGTTTCAGTGATTCTGTTCGTCTTAAATCAATTTGTTTTTTCATGGTAAAGCACAAGTTTCAAAGTACAGAAATGAAGCCCAAGAGGGCTAATGGAACAAATTAGAGGTGGAATTCAGTCAGCAGCAGAGGACTAAACATCTCTGTGGCAGAGCCCAGTTATAAGCCCCATGTCTGTGCAGTGTTAGCATGGTGTGAAGTGTGCTAATGCTACAGGATGGGAGACTAGAGTACTACTACATTCCAAATAATAAGTAATATTATTATGAACAATTTGTTCCATGCACAGCATTTTGTCTCTTTGTCTGTCTCAGGAAGAATCTCATATTGGGTTTGTGTGGACAATGAGAAAAACAGCAGGGATACAAGCAGCATGTAGTTAAACGATAAATGGCACTTCTTCATCAGATTACTCAGTCAAAAGAGGGCACTTTCTGCTACATCCCTGGAATTAAGTGGGATAAAGAAGCACACAAACAGGGACCTTTGTTCCTTCTGCTGTTATCCAATACAGAATGACAGGGTATAGAATAAACATGCAGTATTATTTTAAGTGTGCTACTGATTTTAGCATTAATTCCTTCTTTAAATTTCAGGGTGCTGCTGAAATCACATCAACTTTATAGTATGCTACGTTCAGAGTACTACAGTTTTGTCTCCCAGAAATTACAAGCCTAAATAAACAATATAAAGCAGCTAGAAAATTTTCCTCATAATGTATTGATTGCTCAGTTCAAGGTGGTTTGGTACTCTTTCTTTTAGGAAAGTGGATCCCTCTTTCCTCTGTACATGGATGTTTATGGGAAATTTCATAATGGTTTCCTGTTGCCTCTTACTCTGTGTGCTGTCTATAGGCACCAGCAATGCAGCTGGTTTTTTAACTTTACATAATATTTATTCTTGAATAACTAAGACTGCTCCCAGAAGATAAACAAAGTGACTGTTTCTCCAAACACCACTACCCTTATTTTCATCCTTTCTCTGCTGACAGTGAGTCAGGCTGCTCTATTTGGCTAGCACGACTTGGCATTTTGTACCATTTGAGGTGTGGATTTCATACTTGAGAAGAGTTAATCCTTGCAATACCAAGCAAGAAGCTGTATATGGAAAAGGAATTTTAGTCTATTCTTTTCTCTAATCAGCCCTCAACATTATGCAATTACCCACCAGCAAAAGATGGTAGGAGGAAAAAGCAACAAAACAAACCAAACAGAAAGAAAAAGTGAATTGGCTCTAATAAAGCAGAAAGCTGCTTGGAGTTGAAAAGAAACCTCTTATGTAGCCATTCTGCAGTCACTGTCTGTGAATCAAAGGTGGTCATTAGAACTGTTCGTACTACAAACACCAGCCATCTGGCACTATTTTAGTTGTGATGATTTCTGCTGTATGCCAGGATGACTGGGAGGAACCCAGAAGTATTTTCTAAAAAATTAAAACAATGTCCCCTCCCCCAAGTTCTCTGAATTTTTCCTGTTTTCATCTGATGTTCTGCTGGAGGGAGCCCACCACATCTAAAGACAACAGCAAAACTGGAGGGGTAGCAAATATACACAACAAATGCAAACACACTGGTGATGAAAGAGCACAGGGAAACTTACTACATGTGAAATAATATTTTTAATGTGAATTAGATTTTTTTTTTTAATGTCATTGCTGAATCCTGAATAAGATCATTATATAATGGAAATGCTAATGCTAACAGGACCAATCTTCACAGCCGCAGTGGCTGGCACTGAAACCACCTCTAGGCAAAACAAAAGTGAAGGACTGCGTCCAGGGAACTTCTATTTCCTGGGCTTGCTCACAACTCACACCTTCTTCCTTTTCTGTTACTCTCACTGCCCAAGAGTAAGGGAAGAAATGGGAAAACCATTTTCCCTTCCAAGTTCTCATGTCCAAACCCATGAGAAGTCTGTGAGACCTCACAGCCTCCTCCTAAAACTGTCAGCTTGCTCTCAAACTGCAAGAAAATAATTTTAATAAAAACACTACATATTATTTTTATTTTCCTTTCTTTAAATAACCATTATTTTATAGCAATTCAGCTCAGGTTTTATTTGTCTTCTGTATGTTCCTATACTGTGTTGTGGCACTATGCATATCAGTATGTAAGCACAGAACTTAGATTCTAAGGTAAGTTCTAAGGTTGTAACAGCTAGTAAGGAAACAGTTCCCTTTAATTACATAAAATATATTTTAATGCAATTAAAATAATTTCAGATTTACTTTCCTCATACTAAACTACAAGAAAGTCAATGAGGGCACTTATTTATATCTGTGTAGGATAAAAATGCTCAGTGGAAAACCAAAAAAAGCATCCTGGCCTACCAGTCTGTGAGTCATTCTGCGTAGCTCAGACTTGCCTACAGCTTAGTAACCAACCAGCTGAGAGGAGAAAAATGTAGAGAGCAAATATATAACCTAAAACCACCTCTTGCATAAGGATATGTGAATGCAGTTGGATTACAGGGCAACACAGAGATTTTGGTTTTGTCTTCTTCAAATTCACTTGAGGTTTACAGTAACATGCTATTTCTAGGGACTGAAAAACAATATATCAGCTGTAATTAAAAACGCATTTCAACACTTGCTGATTTTTATCATCCTGTGACTTTCTCTCTTTTCTTTCTAAGACTGATTTGTTCCATGGTTTTATTTGCCTCACATTGGAAGGAAAAATCAGACCCAAAGATACACTAGGGGAAACTGCATAAATGGGAACTCTGACAAAAGCCTTATAAATAGCTTCAAAGTCAAGTGAGCACAAGTGTGCCCAGCTGTCATGCTTTGGGTCTGGGCAGAACATCAGAGCCTTTCCCCCAGCTTGTCACGGCAGACAGAGTGGGTGACTCCCTCCATGGTGGATCAAGTCTTCAGGCACAGGGCAAGGTTACTGTAACCTAAAATTAGCCTCCTAATTTAATGCACAGGCTGTCAACTATCCAAATTCATTTCAGAACTCTCCCACTTCATTTTAGAAATGACAATCACACAGTATTTTGCTGAGCACTTTGAAAGCCTTTTGCAGAAACTTGCTATAGTTCTTATAATGGTTCTGAAGCTAATTTTAGGTGAACTTTTTTTAAATCTTACCATCAGTAACTACTGAGGAACTGTAAATATGTGGTGAGAAATAGCTGTATATTGTAGGAGTAGACTAAATGTACTCTTCTACACATGCAAATTAATTTATTTAAAAATAAATATATCACTTGGTAGGCAACTTAGGAAGCAAAGACTTTTTTATGCTGTGAACATGAAAAAGATCTACAATTATTTTAACAATGTATGTCTAAAAATGTAGGCGTCAGGGACAGTGGCAACAGTTCACTGCAAATGGTGATATCATACATGGGTAACATAACTGAAGATAGACCAGGAAACCCTTTTGTATAAACCATTATTATGATGCCTTGTGGCAAACCAAGGACACTACAGGGTTTAGACATTACTTAGGCTGGGTTTAGAGATATTAAACTACAATTCTTAATGTGAATGATTTGTTGCGAGCAGAAAAGTATTTCAACAGAACTGGAACATATAGGGGCAGATTGAAAGAGTAACCATGGCCTTCTAGGACTGTGAGCTTGTTTTTGAACAACTGGATCTACAACTCACTTCAGACTTACCAGGGCACCAAAACTTACCTGCTACCAAAAGTTTCACAAGCTCTTCTTTGACAGAACTGCCATAATGATTACAGCCCCATACTATAACCAAAATATCCCAACTTCGTAGCCAAAGGACCTTATAGCTCACAAAGAAGCTGTATCCTGATTGTGCATGAACTGCTTAAGGAAACATCTCCACTTGACTCTCTAAGGTGTTTACCAATATATTTTTTTTAGGATTTTTCTTTTTTTAATTCATAGTTTTGCATACTAGATGCATTATATAAGTATTTTTATTAATAGGTCTTCACCTAGTTCCTCTATGTCTATTAATAGCAAGATTTAAATAATATGCTTAAACAAATGCTTATAACCTCAGTCCTCTAAAACAAACAAACAACAAAGAACCGAACCAAACAAAACCCAATCAAACCAAACCAAACAAACCCCAAACAAAATAAACAAACAAAAAACCCGACAAATTCTGGCATGCCCTGGGTTGGAAATTGTTACTCACCACTTTGTCTTCCTCTTTCGTGAAGGGCTTATCCACTTTTGAAAATGATTGATTTGCCTTGGGGGAATCCAGTACAGGACATCCATGATCCAGAATATGACTGAGAGCTTTCTTCTGTAATAGAAGGAAATGTGGCTTGAGAGCATTTAAGCTCTCTAGAGAGAAGCCTAAATTGGCTCACAGGACTTCTGACTTTATTAAGTCAGCCAGCACCATTTCACTAGTCACAGCTTCAAGATAATAGACATTATTAGGATATTTCTTATTTCCTTCCTATATGCCTTCATTTCCTCCTTCCCTTCCAAAACATTCTTGCATCTTTAATTCAAGCTTTGGAGATGTTGGGGGGGTATTCTGACATGCCTGTGAAGGAAACTGCCTTTCCCTTTCTCCTCCTAGGGTCTTTCAAAAGACTAGCAAGATATTTAGTCACAGGAGAAATAAGCACCACTCACAGTCAACCTTTTCCTTTAAGGAGTTTTATCGCTGGTGAGCAGCCAAAATCCTTTCAAATGTTGGAAGCCAGTACTTTCAGTCAGGCAGCCTCCAAGATGTTTGGTTGGTACTGAGACAGTAAGTCAAACTCCTTAAAAGCAGCAGCACTCTGCCTTCCCTTTTGGAGAGCAAGTACCTTCCTGTCAGCACCCAGAGGTTCTCCACCCAATGAGAGTAATGAAGTGGTTTATATATGCAGTAATAATAGATTGTTCTTACTTTGGTATTTATGACAACTGAGTCTAATGTCCATACAATGAGGCAATGTGTGCCAGCTAAAGGCATAGTCACAGATAAAGTGAAACTTACAGTTTCAATATTATTTTAGAAAGGAAGTGATTTTCCTTCCATCCAGAATTGGGACACAGGTAAATAACATTTCCTTAGCCCAGCCATCCATAAGATTCATAATAGGTGAAATAAAAAAAACCAACAGACTGCACATCAACACTGAGGAACGTATTCTGGGGTCTTCTTTAATCTCATTTAAAAATTAGAGGTAAATTTCTACCAAAAACATACACTTGGTATTTCAGTTTCAGAATGGGACAAAGGTTGCAGTTTTTATCCTCAAAAGGAGATAGTGCTTCCCACCTACCTTTCTGCTTTGTTCTCAACTGCAGGCACAGTGGCCCATTTTTTGATGAAAATGCCTAGAACAGATTTCAGGAGAAATCTTTCTACAGTCAGAGCATCACATTTCTCCTCAACTAAGAAAAAGCTCAAGAATGAAGAGCACAATATGCAGCTCCCAATCAATTGAGACACATTTATATGCTGAGAAGCTCCTATCTGGCTTCCGCTGCAGTGAATTCATGGGCTTCTTAGTTTCAACAGTGTTTTGCAAAAGACTATCTAAAAATAAATCAAAAAGCAATTGAAAGGAAAGTGTATCTGCAAGCTACATGCAAAACATACAAAACCCATTGAGTTTTGAAATTCATTGTGGTGTTATTGTGAAAACATATCCAAAATTGAAACTGAAAGTGCATGGGAAAATTGAAAGTTGAAAAAGAAGAAACAAGATCTCTTTCCTGGGGAAAAAAAATAATAAAAATGGCTAGACATTCCAGCAATTCAGTACAGAATCAAATTATTCAGTTGCAAAAGAAAAATCACTTCCCTTATCTAAAATAATGGACCAGACACTAAGCCACTCAGCCATGCATCTCTGGTTATGACCCTTATACTTAAGTAGCTGCCAAAACATTAAGATAGGTTATTTTTGCAACATTTGTACAGAGGAATTCAAGCTCAGCTTCCTGCCTCTGCTGAAGACAGAAAGCAATCAGAAGCCTGACTGCTCCTACTGAGAACCACAGAGAGCTCTCTACCTAATGTATTCTGGGTTGTCCAGCTGGGACTGAAAAGCTGGTGTCTACAGGATACAAATTAAAAGATTCACAGTGAAGATGCAAGTTCACTAAGGCCTGCATTGTTTGTTTAATGATGGTGAGAATATTCCTACTGGCATTCATCTGCAGTCTGTACTTGTATTACACATTTCAGAAGGGCAAAAGATGTGTTGTTTTCTGTGGTTAACAGAATAAAAAGTTTGGGAGGAATTAGCAGATTTAAATTAGAATTGTGCTTACTGGCACAAGAGACTAATGCACAATGTTTTCATCTTGGGAATCACTGATTTAAGTCTGCTTCACATGTGGGCCCAAACCAAGTACACTGCTGAAGCTAACAAGAGTATTGCTGTGAATTTCAATAAGAAAGGCTGTAAAAGTCCCTCCTTCAGCAAACAAAATGTCCAGCTGAGAAATTAGATTGAAGCAGCTCATTTATACATGCACAGGTATTTCAGAAGCTCACTTAGACACCTCTTTATTCATAATTACTTCTAGTCTTCCCCACTGTTTAAATGCATTATTGTTAGATTTTATTTCATAGCAACCATGTGAAACCCAACACTATATTTCTTAATAAGCCTTTTGAACTTTTAACTTCTATCACATTCTAGAATGGCTGTGTTATATATTTTAAACATACTCCAGTAAAATTCAAACATAGTCCACCTCATGCTGTCTACTTGCCTCAAAGGAACAGAAGGTAGGTAGGAGATCAGCTGCCCTTTGCAGCATTCTCTTGAAGTCAGTGACAAGATTCTTATAGGAGTTGATTTGATTCTAAATAAATGGGCAGCCACAGTGGAACACAAACTCTAAGACTTCAACCGTCTCCGAGATTGTTTTCTTATCAGTTTCTAATAATCAAGGACTACCTCAGCAGCCACTGTAACCTGGAGCAGCATCACTGCAGTCAGTGATGCTTCATTGGTGTACCAAATTAAAATCTAGCCTGTGACAATAGATGCATCTCCTCAGGGAGACTATAGACTATTTAGGCATTTCTAATTATGTGCTTAAGTAGAATTGTGTATTTTAGCAGCAAGGTCACAGATGCGTATGGAAATACTGGTGAAATTTTTATTAGCTGCTAAAATGCTAATGATGCTCTGAATTTCTTATACGTAAATGAGAAAGGCTTTTTAAAAACAAACAAACAAAAACCCTTATGCTTGGAACAAAATGATCATGACACCCCAAATGAAAATAAACTGAGTCAAACTTTACCTCCAGCAGAAGTAATACTAGACTCATGCATTTATGTTAATACTACAGTAGTGCACCTATAAAGCCATAACAGCCCTTAATCGGCTCAGCTTTATTTCACCCATAATTTGTTTTGTTCCACATCAGACTGAAGAAGCCTGGACCTAAAAGCCTCCTACTCCAACCAAAGTGAGCAGGTGATTCTCGTGTGACAAATGACACTCAGAAGGAGGTCCCATATTTCTGCATTACAGACATCTGTGACATTTTTCTAAATAAGAATGTGCAAAGTAAATATAGAGGAAATTGTACAGCAATACCCTAAATTATTGAAAGGCTAGCTATGCAGAACAAACATAATTAAAGGGTCTCATTATCTTCTAAATAATTATTGTAAATAATACTTTAGATAATTACTTCATTAGTTTTCCAAACACTGGCTTTTATTCTCCTCTGAGATTCTACTCTACTCTGAATAAATTGCCAAAAGGGAAAATCAAAAGCAGACTAAGCATATGAGCTGGAAATGCAATGTGTACTTGTATGAACTGATTTCAACCCAGGGTGTTTTGAAAGGGTTTTTTGCAAGTTTTCAGAAAGTTAAAAGCAGCACTTTTTAATTTATTTTTTTTTCTTCAGATTCCTTTCTGATGCAGGTGATTCAGTTGCTAGCAGCTATATTTATCCGTTTCAAGATGGCTGACAATACAGGGGATGGAACCAAGATTAGTCTGTACCATGGATAACTGCCTTTCCTAACTACATTTTGTCATTTTCCTTCTCCACAAATACCATGTGGTATATTTCTAATAATAGAATAAACTATCCATTTAAAAGCACCAGCCCAAACAAAAGGAAAGCAGAAGACTGAGAGAAGAAATGGGCAGAACCTGCAATTAGATGGTTCAGTGTCTAAGTTGGCATTTGGAAAAGTATTTTTTTGAACAGCATTCTGTGAGTACAGTCAGTAATTAAAGCAATGACATGAAAAAGTAGCAAATAGTTTCCCGGTCAGGTCCCCAAGTCAATATGTAGCACTGCAAGGCTGACACTTTCAAGCCCAGGGTATTTTACAAGGCCTTCGCCAAAAGTCCATTAAAGAAATTAAATAGCAAGAGGAAAATGGGAACTCAGCAAGAAGCAATCATCCCAGCCAATGAAGCATTCTACTATACTAGGCACTTTTTCTGCCATGTCAGCATTTGCAAGCAGTTTCCACAGGGGGGCGAATTCCAGATCCCAGACACCACCAGTGCAGGCGGGTCACGCCGGCAGCTTTTCCTGCAAGTTCCAGGTCCCTTCCTCTCCCGCCCTGTTACGTGCCCGACTCCCCAGACACCGCGCTGCTCCTCTTGTGCAAGACAATGTTGTCTTAATAGGCTGTTATACCATCTCCTAATTGTAACAGTTTTACACTGAATCTAGATCTACAGCAACAACTAAATTTTTCAGCTAGTCAGACTACCGCTCTAGTAAAGACACATGTAACAAACCAATTCCGAATTCAAATAGTTTTGAATTTTTACTGACCTGGGTGCAAACTGATCCGTTCTTTTAAACACAAGCGACCCAATTCACTTCCATGCCAATGGGAGGTATTAGCCCATTATAAAACAGGCTAAACAGAAATAACCGTATCCAGTAAATACAGACTTGCATCCCACACCTTTACAGATGAGTTCATTTGGTAATTGCAGATGTGACCTAAGTAGTTCACATTAATGAACTTAATAAAAAAAACCCCAAACAAACAAAACACATCAGTGCTGACTGACACTGCCTTCATTGATTAGTATGTTTCTTGATGATCTCTCCCACGTATTTTTTTATAAATAAAAACACAAACAATAAAACAACAAACAAAAGAACCCAAACAAAAACTAATAGCAAACAGCCCAAACCCTTCTCCAAAGGATTAGGATTTTTTGCTTGTGAGGTTTTCCCCTGTTTTGTTGTGTTTTTTAAAATAACATTACTATATTAGCAAGGTCATGTCTTGCTTTGGATGTCAAATGTCCTATAATATTTGTTGTACATGTGGAAGACAGGGTTTTCTCCTTAGGTTTAAAAACAACTCCCTCAAAACCTTGAATTCTTCTCACCAACACAGATCTGCAAGATCTGTCAACTGACCATTCCCACACACAGTTGCAGCAGGGATGTTTCAGTACTGAACCTGTGCCCCTGCCTCTTAACGCTTTAGGAGGAAAGGTAATTTGAAAAACAAGATGCACAGTAGGCATCACCTCAAGCAAGCCTGCTGAAGGACTTAAAGACAGTTGTAACATTCTCCAAACTACTACCCTACTCATCCGAAGTTTAACCTAAAACATAAAGCTCAGGTAAGTCAGAGCAAGAAGGCAACAGACCTGCTGCTTTTTTTCAAGCTTCTAGTTGATTTTGCAGAGCATAGTATACCTTAATTGCTCACCCTAAATAGATTCCAGATATCAGATCTGGACTAAGTCCAGACTGCTATCTGTGCTTAGATCAGAAATTCACAGGGAGTGGTCTGAAAGAATAAAAACTGAGTTAACTGTATTTTCTAAAAGTTCTAAATGAAAATGGTTTTGTCTACCTCATCATCAGCATTCAAAGGATTTGCTTTCCACTCTCCCAGTACAAAACCTAGCAATACATTAAGAACAAAACAAGATTTAGTCCTAGCACCTTTAATGACCAGGAGCCTGCTGCTTTGGAGCAGTGACAGAACTCAAGTCAACCTGCCAAGTCAATTGATATTCTAGTCACCAGCATTTACTTTGTAGCCAAGTTCCTGAAGGTGTGTGAAGAGTACTACTAGAAAACCCTCGTGAAAGAACTTTGCCAAGATAAATACTGATAAAGATTATTAAAGCTATTGCATAAAATTGTTTAGAAAATGAACTATGAAGTGAAATAGCATTCTTTCAGACCACTGAATGAATAACAGTAGAGTTTCATCATGATTAATGGATGATTAATCCACAGAATATTAAGAGATACTTTACTATACGAAGTCATGATAGAGAAAGTTTGTGTTTTAAAAATAAATTAATGCTTATATTTAAAAATATTAACTTAATGAAAATCAAATGTGCTTCATTCTGTGATGTAGAATAATCTAAGAATCTGGGCTGATCTCACCAGTGATATTACTTTGAGCAGGAGGTTGCACTAGATGACCTACAATGATTGCTTCCAATCCAACTGGTTCTCAGATTTAGATATATATCTGTATCTATCTATATGTTCACCATAGGCTTGTATTACAATTCAGGAAAGGAGAAAGCTTGCAAAAGAAGCCAAAGAGTTCTTTACAACATGCTGTCAATATTATACACACATTAATCCCTCAATGCCTTCTCATCTGCAAGACACCACACACCTCATTTCAAAAATTAACAGACATACCCAATGTTAAAAACATAACTGCAGACTCAAAGTAAAAACCTTCTAACTAGAGCAAGTTAACAGTTCTGTGCAACACTACCAAATAACTTTGTCAAGTATGTACTGAAGTTGCCTCTCAATATTCTGTAAGATTACATAAAAGGAAGATCAAGGGAGCCATTACATAAACGGCACCTCTCGAGTCTGTTATTAATTCTGACATTCTCAAAAAACAGTTGTATTCTGTGTTACTTGAATGTTGTCAAGCTCAGTTTACTTTCAATTGGTAGAATCTAGCATAGGCTGACCAGTCTCACCTTTCCAAAGTATGGATAAAGGAAATACAATTTTGTATCCAAAATAATCCTTGTTTTGTTCCCAACCCACAGAGCCTGCTATTTATTGTGAGCTTTTTGTATCGTAGCTCAGCCATTTTTAAGAACTATTTACTCTTGAACATAAATAGCCTTCTTTCCCTTCTTTGTAGTAAAATGGATTAAGATGCAGCCAATAAAAGCAATCATTCTTTACAACATATACACAATTATTCTGTAATTACTTACCATTTCTATATATTTCCCCTTTATTCCAGAAGTACTTTTGTTCTTCAGAGCCTAGTTACAAGTGCTTATGGAATGCTCTTTTTATTCCAAAATGCCCACTTTTAAGTGCTTTAGTACTGGCAGAAGGACTTTGCACATTTGACAAGAGGTAGCTCAGAGGCTGCAAAGGGCACTAAATAACTGAGCAGCCAGTTACTGTACATGACAGGAAAGACTGAGCAGATTCACAGGTGCAAAGGCTGCCCCACTGCCTGCAGTGTGGGGAAGAATGCCATGGTTATTTTCAGAAGTGGCATATAAGCCACATGAACACATCACATCAAATTTAACATTGGGTAACGTAAGTCTTTAAACCCCAATCACATATCCCACTCACCCCTCAAAAAAACCCAACCAACTAACCTCCACCCACATCCAAACTGTTATCTGAAAATTACATTAAGCATAACTGTCTGAAAAGGTGTTTTTTTTTTTTAAAAAAAGGAATTTTTAGACAGAAAAATATCCTTCCTCATAGGCAGAAGTTTCCTCATTCCCCTTTGTCTTCCAAGTTTTATTTATTTGGCTTGTGCTCATTAAAGCTTTCATAGTGCTATGCCAAACAAATCCTGCATTGAAATCTCCATGTTACACATTACAGAGCAAAAAAAAAAAAAAAGCAGAAAAAAACATTAATTGCTGAAAAAGCCTTAGTTCACTCTATTGAATTCATTAATATTCAGATTTGGTGTTGGTTTTTTTTCACCAGTGGCATGGTACCACTGTGAGAAACAGCAGATACCCTCACAATCCAAGCACTTTGGTGGTACAGATTTTTTTAAAAACAGCCACTTAACGTTTCCCCTATGTTGAGATTTTACCTTCTTGGTTTGCCTTATTAACTGCTAACATCAACATCCCCAGTTTTATCCAATTTTCCCAATGACATAAAGAAATATAAAATTAAGCATAACTGCTCAGCTATCTTACAGTTAGTCATAAATTGGCCAATTCCCAACTTCTAAGTGCTTTGTTATTAGCTCTGCATGTACATCTCTCATTAGCATTAGAGCCTTACAAAAAGTTATGACCATTCATTTCTGTACAAAGATAGCACTGAGTCATATCAAAGCAAACAAAACCTCAGCCATTTCCTCAAAGTTCTCCAAAAAAGTTCACACACAAGAAAAACATAACCAGCCTTACACAACACTATAGTGACAGTTGCACTGCATTTGCTAGAGCGCTGACCATGGGAAAGACTGGTGTCAGCAGGCTGCTTGCTCCTGTTCACTGCTGCTGGAGCCATACGCAGAGCTGCAAAGCCCTGGCTGCAGCTGGAAGCAGCCAGGGTACCATGGGGGGGGCAGGTACCATAGGAGGGCAGGTACAGCATCACCACTTGGGTGATGCTGCTCAGTGCTGCACTGGCAAGAAGCTGTGAGGGTGGCAATCCAAGCTGAAACATCAGTACGGGGGGAATTACTCCAGTTACCACCCGTACATCAGAACCCTGAACCTGTTCCAGAATTTGCAGTTTGGGGGGGGGCAGGTAAGGGGAAGGCTTTTTAATTCTGCACTGTGAAAGATGCACTTCTATGAGCTATTTTTGAGAGGACATGAATAGCTTTATTTGAACAAATAATTCCCATATTTTAAAAGCCTAATATTAAAGCAGAATTCCATGCACATAGTTTAAAATTAATAAATTCCACTAATGTCTTCATAATTATTTCTACACTTACTTTGATCATCTCTTCACCTTTTTTTGGTAAAATGTTTCGGGAAATACATTCTTAAGCCTTTACTCTTAAGATGCAGATATTGATTGTTTGACACGTCCTTGCAAAAACAAACCAGCCTTCCTCAAACATTTACTGGAAATATTCACAAAGGTCACAATAACATCATGAATATAAAAATAGCCACAAGATGGTTGCTTAGATAAATTTATTAGTGCATAGGTTAGAGATTTACTCCCCTCCAATATTAACAGAAGAAACAGGTTCATGTCAAAAACAAATGATGTTTTGTTTTTAAAAACAAATTCTCTAAGGCAGCTAGCTATACAGCAACAAGTAAAAAGTATGGAGTGGCCTACTCAAATTTCTGGTCTTGATGGGCAAATTATTGCATTATAAATAAAAAAATTCCACATGATGGGATTTTGGGGGTAATTTTAAGTAACCAGCAGTTAACCAGCAGAACTGATTTCCCCCCCCCAATCCAATTCGTGTATCTGTATAAATAATATTTACTGATAAAAATCTAGAAAGCTACAAAACAAAAATATATTTTACTTAGAACAAGAACTAAGGCAACCAATCTTTCCTTACTTTGCATGTAAACTTCCTCACAAACATCAGTGAGTGTCCTGGACTTAGAGGTAAAGAAATTTGTTCATTAATGAAGCCAAAACGTTTAAGTGACTTCTATATGGCTGACTTTCAAAAAGACCAATAATATCTTTTCTTTTTTAAACTTGTTTGACATCTGAATAGCTCCAGCACATTCACAGTATATTTGGACAGCAAAGCAGGAATATTCATACATACAATATAAATTGTAAACTTTGCTGAATTTCATTAAGTCAACAGAGTGAATTACAGTTTACTGAGCAACTTTGATCTCAGACACTTTAATAAAACATAAGTATTCTAACATTTTAGGATCAAGTTACTGCAGTTAACATTGTAGTTGAATATTTGGAAACATTGACAAGTGTAGTTTTAGACTGCGTTCAAAAAGGCACAAATTATCCTCTCCCCCAATTCTCTTACTGTGTAAATATATCTACATTATCTACATGGATATCCTTGAACAATGAGAAGTCAAAAATTCAAGTTACAAATACTTTACACACAAAATACAAAAATAACCTGTTACATTAAATGCAGTTATTTGGTTACATTTGAAGTCTTTCAAGTCCTGCAAGCTAGCATTACAAGTATGTATATACTAAAACACCTCATATATGTTATATAATACAATTTAATAACAAATCAGTGTCTTAGTTTGTATTAGTTTCAGTTTTTTCTGCAGGAGTTTATCCCTATGTGCTATACTCATACAACAACATTAGCAAGCTTCTGAATAAGAAATCTTGACTTGGCTTTATAAAAGGCGACTTTTTGTCATGTTCATATAAACAATAAGGCTAAACTGACCCATTGGTAATTATTTGTAAAATTATCTGTTCAAGTTCAAATTTGGTGTGCTTCATTACTGCATTCTTTTATCATAAATGTTGCAGCTAACTTTTTATTATAAAGTCAAGGAAATATTTAAAGCCATTAACCTTAATCACAGGGCAAGAAAAAAAACCAAACCTGGAAAATGTAAAAAAAAACACACCCATGGTTTGTTTTTTTTCCTTCTCAAGTCTGATGCAACAGGCAGACAGTTAAGTAGTCTTTTCAGAATAAAATATTTTTAGCACTTGTTGGAGGAAAAAAATTAAGTATAAAGTTTAGACAGGTTAAGGTGACTAAATAAGTAATACATTTAAAGACAAGCTACATTTCATAAAAATGTTCACAGGAGTGATAAAAAAGCAGCACTGATAATGTACTAAAACTTGTGATTAGAATATATTAGCAATAGGGAAAATAAGCCTAACAGTCAAAACACCATCTCTCAAACTCCCTATTTATAACACTGAGATATTAAAAAAAAAAAAATCCTGTTACTTTAGGTTCAAAATAATTAAGAGCAGGTTTCAGTCTTAAAAATGCATAGTATATGATGAGAATTCATACATTTCCTAATACATTCTGATCTTCATTTATGAGTAAACATTAAGAGTGATTTCTTTTCATTTTTAACCATTAGTGCCAGGTCATCATCATGAAACAGTGTAAGGTGTCATTCTTTAAAAAAGGTTTGGTTTTACTGAAGATGAATTTTGGAGTTTCTGAAGGTTCACCAGTCTCGGAATGTGCTTGCTATGATAGTGTTGTTGCTAGGATAATTCCAAGTATCAGAAGCAATACAGTTACACAAATAATTATGAACATCAGTTTCTGCAAAAAAGACAGAAAAGTTGAGATTGAAACACCTTGTCACATACAGACCTGATTACACACATGCATAGCCACAAAAAAATCAATACTTATATCTAATCTGAGTGTTTCAATTTCCTTTCTAAACAATACTTACTGCTATGATTTTTTTATTGTTAGTCTTTCTTTTCCAACATATATGTAACCATTGCTACAAGACAAAGCTGTGTAACATTTCTGTAGTTCACTTCAGAGTAATTGTTATTACTCATGCCTAATTTCTTTAAGTATCGTTAGGTATAGAAACAGATGCAACAGTGAATATTTACTTATCATGATCAAGTCTAAGTACAGTAACATTGCTTACTGCCACCCTCCTTGGGTAAATATTTGCAGCCTGCTTAAACCTTTACAATTGCACTTAGTGGAATTCAATAAAATGCCAGTAAAAACACTGTGTGGGTACCAGCTCAGAAAAGCTGTAAGGAGAGGGGAAAAAAACAAAACAGAGATGGATTCTACGTCAATGCAGCAAAGTCTAACATTAGGTCAGACTATAAGCAGTGACACAGTAAATCCTGTTATCTGCCCATAAACCAAAGCTAAGAAACTGTAGCATCAAAACTAAAAACTTCTATATTAAAAGAGTGTTAGTACAGAACTGCATTCCTGATTAGTTGTCTGAAATCACACCCCATGCACAGCACTTCAAAGTAGCTTGAAGATACCACATACAAAAAACTGAGCTTCTATTGGACTCAGAAGAGTTAAATGCTACTTTCTACTTAGGCTGGTTAGATATTACCTGGGCAAAACATGTTAGGTTAGTACATTCAAAAATCTCAAGACTGAAAGAGTTTGCAAATTCATGTCCTAAAGTTCCTAAAGTAGAAATCTTTGCAGACTTCCTTTTACAAATACAGTTATTTTCTACTGTTTCATTTATTCTAGTATTAACAAACAACTTCATAAGAAATTTTAGGATGCTCTGTATGGTACAGGAGCCAGATTTTCAGCTGTGGAGATCTATGAAAGCTCTACTTAAAACTCTAAAACCCCCCATTTTATAAATTTTCCAGTGTAACTAGAATTCCATATCTTAGTGCAGACTGCTCACAGATGTGAACTTGGAGTAAAAAAAAACAACAAATAAATGTCAAAGGATTGAGACAATAACTGGGTTTTTTGGTCTCATTTCCTTCTGTGATCATGAGCTTTATGTAGTGACTGCATCAAGTAAACGTAGCAGCTTGCCACTAGATGTCAGCTTTCAATATTCACATGCACAGCACTTAACCAGTATGCAGAGGTAAGATCCTCCACTGCACCTCAGGCCAATCCCCCATAACAGCAGTACAGATATTAAGGGTTATTAGAACACCACAAGCTACTAAGCAGGCAAAATTAGTTGATTAGTTACTTACTGCCACACTGGCAGGAAGTCATGCATGCTGAAGTTATCCAAGCATCACCGAATACCAACAGACAAGCCAATAATTAGGCCAATTATGGCAATCAACACAACTGACACAGTGATTATTATCCACATTTTCTGTCAAAAAAATAGGTATTATTATTATTTTAATACAAAGCACATTAAGATTTGCATTTATTTTCAATTTCTAAAATACTCAGTATTTAGATCCAAACTCATTTTCATTAAAGCCTGCAGTATTCCCAAATTGAGATAAATTTATCTGTATATTCTTGCATGCATAAGAATATACATTTTAAAACAGTGTTTACAGGTAAACTAGTGTGATTAATACCTATATAGTTATCAAAGATGAGAAAACCACCATTTACAAATACATTTAAGTGGGCTCTTTCAACACTTCTTAAATATTTTTAACGTAGCAGACATGTTATCCATATGTAGATATCTATCTATATAAATATATCATTCCCTCAAATTCAACTCACCATGAAAAGCCTCACAAAATTGCACAGCATCTCAAAAGGGGAAATTATAATGTCAGAGGAACACTTCATTCACTCTGCAATCATACAGTTACAAAATATAAATTACTTAGTAGTTTAATTTCAGAATACATTATTTGGCTTTCTGATGGGAAGAAAGGTACTGAAATACAACACAAGTATTCATGCCAATGGAAAATGCCTGAATGCTACTTTGAACTCAATTCCTCCACAAAACTGAGTGTCGTGGTTTAATGTCACACCCTTTCCAGAGGGAAGATCCCCCAGTGCAGTACTTTTACAGGAGTGCAATGACAGTTATCTGTAAAAAGAATAATTACAGATGGAATTCTGAAAAAAGCCTGCTTCACTAAAAGCAGTTATTTTATTTTTCTTGCTAACACGATTTTATAGCTATAAATCCAGGTAAATTTACCAGTGATAAAGATCCAAAAACCTCTAAGCCTATTTAGAGTCTGAATAATTTAAGATATCACGGATACTTGGTAAGAAGAACCTGTGAATTTAACTATTAGCATAATATATTAATACTTCTTTTGGCATTTTAACACCCTGCAATGACACTAAGTGGAAAATTGTGAACATAGCCTTAGCTGTGCATTAATAGCTTATCTGGTTTTGTGTAGTTCTCTCCTCCAGTGGTAAAAGTAATAGTAATAATTTAAATATTAACTACAACATTAAGTCACATTGTAAGTGTTCTGATTTATTCCAGACTATAGGTTTGTTTCTAAAATCCTTTGATAAATCTTCCTCTGTTATATACTAATTTATAACAATGTTTTCTAATATAATTTTAAATATTGCAACTATAAAAATGTAACATGCCTATATTCATTCTACCTTGAACATGACTGAATACAACAACAAAAATCAACTGAAAATGAACGTCATTTCACACTGTGCTAAGTTAATATAGTGACTAGCACAAATACAGAAACATAGCCTACCCTTCGTGCTTTACTTTGATATTGAACTGCTTTTTTTGTCTCTTCTTTTGCATGTTCCACATAATCCGATGCATTCATCACATTCTTTTCTATGTTGTTGATCATTTCACCCTTAAAATTAAATTTTGAAGAAAAAAATTTTAGTGAAATCTGCAGATCTTTGTTTAACAAAACTAAGAGAAGAAAGGCCACAGAACATCAACAACTAAGTGAGTGAATAATGTATGTGTTAGTGGCTGACAATTTTTCCTTCACACATCAAAGCAGAAAAAGGGAACGAGAAGCAAGGTCTCAGAACTTCTAAACAAAAAAGGAACATTCATGGGCAGGATAAGCATATTTCTCCCTTTGCAGGAACAAAAACATACCTTTGAATGTGAGGTATGTTTTAAGAGCCAAAACTAAAACTGACAAACTAAGGAGATCAGAAATCACTAACTTGCCTGGAGGTGGGAAACGATATTGACTATTTTGATACAAGGTTCAACAGTTACCTAAGAAAACACACACATCTAACAGCAACTTCAAAAGTTCCTCAAAATTCAGGGTTTAGAATGTCAATATATAACAAATCCAAGTTAATTATGATGAATGACATTTGGTAATGAAATGGAGGATTGGTGAAAAATTACATTAAGTCTATTACCTGTGTTTCTGTCCATCAGAAGAAATAATCAGCAGCAGTAAACAGCAAAGCATTAAAGAATGATGCACAAGTAACTTTTGTTACATTTCTAATTAAAAAGAAAACTGCTACCAATTTGCTTTGGCTACATATTTAATATCAAAGCATCAAAGAAATTCTATAACAAAATCCAATTTAAAAAAAAAGTCATTTTCAGCACAAGTTTTCTCCTGAAAATTTCTCTTTCCACTTTCCTGCTTAAGTCAAAGAATTTTATCAGTTTAAAATGTTTTTGTTAGACAACTGGTATGTAAAAACTACAACAGAATGAATTTATGTACATATCAAGACAATGTTTATGAACACAACAGATTATCTGACTTTTCAATCCCTTTACATTCGTGTTAGTTATGACAGTAATCATAGCTGTGTATTATGTGCAAGTTGCACATCCTTGCTAATGCACATTTTCATCTAGCACAGCAGTCCTTTACCATGTCTGTGAGAATCCTAAATTGTCAAGACATTAGCCAACATTCCAGGAGTTCTTACTTAAATATACACAATGTTCAAGCATATTGCCATGTAAGCATGTTAAATTCTAATTCTAATCACATTCAAAAGACACTGCAAGTCTGTATTACCTGAATATAAGCAATTATTTCTGCATATTTCAAAGAGGAAGACTGGGGTGAAAAATACCACTTAAATAAATGTTTGAACTGGTTCATTTACCTGAGTCTCAACAAACATTGCCATGTCCATAAACATTTCATGCAGTTCCCGTATGCTGGATTCCAGTTTCATAATATCCTTGTGACGTGACTCAATTTCATTCAGAGCTTGCCTGGTTATTTGAGAGTCTGATATAATCTTCAGGAGAACAAAAAAGACAGGGACATAAATAAGGATGTAATAAGTGATGACATACTTCTACATAGCAGAAGCAACTGAAGGGAGGCAGAACTGGACCAGAAATACCTACATCAGATGTGAAAATTGAAGGATTACCAGTCTCTAACATTTCTTCCAGTTCCTCATCAGTGGTGGTCTTTCCAGCTAGGACATAAACAACAGTACTTAACATAACTTCATTTAGCCATTATCAAACATAACATTTTAACCATACCAGAAGGATGACAATTAAAATTAAAATCTTGTATTGAGAACTTTTCAGGATAAAACAGTGCAGTGTTTGCCATTACAAAGTGCCAGCTTACACAGGAAAAAAAATAATCAGAAAATACCAAGTAATCATGAGAAAATAAAAGCAGGCTCAAAGCTAACATAAATAACTGGTTGGTGAGGTGGTGTTTTGTTCTGTTTTTGTTTGGTGGGGTTTTTTTGGTTGGTTGTTTTTTTTTTGTTTTATTTTTTGTTTGTTTAGGTTGGGTTGGTTTTTTGGGTCAAATTGAAGAGTTCAGTCATAAACATTTGCAATGCACACAGAAACCTTGTTAGGCAGTGTGTTCTTCTGAAGAAGAACTTGAGATAGAGAATATATATAATATTCAGTATTTATCTATTCAGTCATGTCACATTGGCACCTAATTTACTCACTCCACCACTCGGCAAGCAATAAAATCTTTTGGTTTTACCAACATAGGATTGACATTCATATTCCACATAGAGAAGACTAATGCTCACAGAGTACCTTCACTTCTACTTTTCATAATACGTCTAACAATTGATGTAGCTTATTATTGCATGTTTAAGTAAAGTGGGTCCTATTGATCACACTAGTATGACAAATATACAAGCTGCATAACCTGCTTTAAAATTTTTAGTGCTGAGGAAAATCTAAAGTTTCTATATAGGTCATTAACGACATTAAACTTAGAAGAACTGAGGTATTAGGGTTCCTCCCCTCAAACTTATAGGTAAAGAAGAATTTAACTTGCCTAATAAACTTAACAAATTTGAGAAGTACCTGACAAACAAAGTACTCTTAGAATTTGACAAGTCTTCTGTTTGCATTTCCTATTCCAGCAATGTATGTATTTGCTTTTACAGGAGATAATTTTAGGTACAAAATCTTACAGATTTTTTTGGACACCTTCTGAGGTAGATGCTGTAGTTCAGCATAGAGTTAGTTACCTTTCTGAATACTCCTTGTAATCATTAATGATAAAAGAAGTCAAATGTGATCAGCCAACAAATTAGAATAGGCAGCACTGATTTTATATCAGCATAATTTTTTAAATGTTCTTATTCTCAAAATCAGCATAGCATTAAAAGATGTTGCCTGTTCAGCATGCTAATTTTGGAATGGCTCTTAATAACACTTGCTATCTTTAGAATACAGCTTTTCTTATACTTCAATTGAAGCTGCAACATTGGAAATAAATGAAACAAAGGAAAGATCTTTACTAATTTTCAACACAAATTATCTAGTGAATTTTATCTATTTTCTTTCCAGCTGTTCCCAAGTGTAGTATCAAAGACTAAATGCCATATGATAAAACTGTTTCTTTTCCCTCCAACATTTCAAGATGCCCAAGATGTATGATGCTTTGAACCATCTTTAATAAGAAAGAAGGGTGGTACGAACAACACAATTCATCCTTTTAAGAAGTGCATTTAGGTCACTTACTTATCTCTAATTGTCTCTGTATCCGACCTTTGCTGCGCTCTCGGAACAGGGTTTGTGTCTCGTTGTATTCCGTCATGACCTCCACAAACTTGTGAGCTAGCACAGAGTGCTGTTTGTTGAGGATTTAAACATGTGGAACAGAAAAGTTTAATTTTTTTGATACAGAAAATAATACTGCGCAACAACTGAAAGTGGTATTTACATTCCAACAAAGCAGAACATGAAGTTCAGAAACTATTTTAAAAAAGTGAAACTTTCTCTGGTTTACTAGAATCCTTTGACTTTCTTTAAACTTAAGTGATCATACCTGTGTTTTCCTTATCCTGAGGTCCACTGATGTTCGATTAACATTTTCACCCTGATCAAAACTTTGTTCAATAGCTACGAAAAAGCCAAGAATATTACAAGACAACATTAAGCATAATTATTTAAAAGTGTAACTCAGTTACTCTGTAAATACTATTACTACTTTACTCATGTGCAAGCTCCCCCCAGACATGTTTAACATTTCAGGGGCAGGAGAGGAATGGCAGTGATATACAGATTTATACAGATTTAAAATAATTTCACTAATTGGTACAGAACTTAAAACACTACTACTCCAGCACTCTTAAAAGAGTCAGACTACTGTTTATTACTCTGAAAAAATTTCAAAAGGTGTAACAAAATGGGCTGCTCTTACAATTTAAATTTTAAACACCATCTCTAGTGTTTATGGAAGGACAAATGCATGTAGTAATTGTCATAAAATAATATTAACACACTATATATTTTAAAACCTATGCTAAACAACTAAGACATACTCACTGGCAAAAGCCACAGCAAAATTAACTGGTCTGAATACAAAATACAATAGGTGTTCTAGAGCAACTCCCTGTGTAGACATTTATGCCATGGAGATTGTCTTTTTGCAGTTAATCTTTTTCCAAAACCTCATGACTAAAATCAACCACTTCAGTTGCAGAATACACTTCTACACAGAGGAATTACTTTGCATTATATTTTTTTAGTTATTTCCAAAAGCAAGTAAGCTCTTTGTCCTGCTCCACAAACTAGGCTCTGCTGAGACCTAGTATTTATCAGTGGTGAAGCTTGCCAAGGAGGAATAAAGTAGAGGATGATACTGCTACTGACAGAGGCTGTACAGCAGCTGCCAGGAAGGCAGTTCTCCCTTTTTTTTTTAAATAGCTGTATAACAATTTTTGCATAAATAATGCAGCTTTTAAAGTTTAGAAGATCAGCTGCAACACACTAAGTTTGTAACACTGAATCATTACAAACAGCAGTAGTTTTATTTCTCCTCACAACTCACCCTTTAACCTGGCTCGGATTTTATTAGCAATCTTCTTTATTTCCTCATTTAATTCTTCAAGTTCTTCCTTTGTTCCTTTAAAAAAAGATTATTATTTTTTAGAACTATTGATAATTCATAATAGTAAGGCAGCAACTCTCTAGAAATCCATATTGCAAGTACATTATTGTGTTCACTACAAACACTCAGAAAAGAAGTCTACTGTATTTCCAAAGTACTTTAAAAACAACTCACAACAGCATACTATCAGATTTCTGCTTCTTATGACAGGTCCTTACACTTGGGAAATTTATTGCCAAATCACCAACCAAGTAATAAGATATTCCATGTTTTTGCTTAAAATAACACTTTTGGAGTAACACTTGTTTGCTGGTCAAAATGAAAGTACACTGAAGCCTACCAAGTGAAAATACAGAATTATCTCACTTCTAGTTCTGTTGCTTATCATGGTCTGCTTGTACTATTATTAACATAACTGTACCATGCACTGCCTATATTTTTTGAAGAACACTACACACAGAATTCATTAAGAACTTGCTAGAACTTGTTATCGGGTTTGCTGAACACACTAGACTCTGAAAAGCAAAGATCACTTACTAGCAATGTTATGTTCCCACATATTGATGCATTAATGAGCATCATTTTTAGCACAAACACAAGCCGATATATGAGCTGAGATCACAGATTTTAAACACTCACATGAGTCCCTATTAAACCTGAGATTTATTGACTGTATATGATTAAGACAAAAAGCAGTCTGCAAAATATTTTGTAAGAATACAAACATATGCCCATCCATGAACAAAGAAAATAATGGGAAAATAAAACTAACATCCGAAGTTCAGTTTTCATCAACAAGAAGATAATGTTAAGCTAACATTGCAACATTCCACAAAAATATCTCAGCATCTTTTCTTCCCTTTTCTTCAAACCCTGCCTGCAAACCCATGCATGCCTTGACTAAGTAGTGTTGAGAACTAAGAAGGTTCCATGTTTCTGAGTAAGTTCCCTAGAGTTCTCTGCTCAGAAAGCACATCCGTACTTTCAGTTTTGGGGTTACAGCCTCTAAAAACTGTACAGAACTCTTACTCCAGCATGGAACCCTTACTGAATCAGGGGGCTGTAGAGTTAAGTGTTAGGCAGGATCTTGCCCCTGCTGAAGATGATGACCCTACTGTATGACCTTCAGTTGAGAACTTCAATATTTTCACAAATTAGAAGAAATGCAAGTAGCCTCTAAATTTCTGAAGACACAATCCATTTCAAGATTCTATATTAATCCAGGTTTTAGTCTCACAAAGGTTTGAATGATGCAACAAATACTCTGAAAATATATTTATTCAAGGAAGTTTTAAAAAAAGATAAAAATAAGCAAAAATATTAAATAGTAAACTTTTAAATATTTAAATAAATTGTGAAACATTTTGCATTCTGAACACCTGAGGTTCTATTCCCATAGACAGCTAGAACAACAACAAAAAAAAATTATTTCAGAACATCTAAACACAGACCTGAAATCTAAAAAAAAAAAGTGATACTCACTTCCTTCAGGATTTGGTGCTGACAGAATAATGCTGTGCTGCTTTTTTACTTCTTCCACATTTTGTGCTATTTTTGCTATATTATTTCTAAGTTCCTCAACCTAGAAGAAGAGAAATATCGCCATGAAAAACCTAGAATAACTCCAGGCAAAGATTATTATTTTTTGTAAGTATCATTACTAAGCATATTGGGGCACCTGTAGATGAGCTGTTTAACCTAACTATGAAAGCAAAAGGCACAGAGATAAAACTGTCGTTAGCGCATGGTAAAAACTCTAAGTTTACCTGTTGGAAAAAGTCATCCATAAAATGGTCTTTTTCAACAATAACTGTCTCCCCATCTTCATTTCCTTTGTACTGTAAAAGACAACAACACAAAGCTATGAAACAAAACTCAAGATACCATCTTGAAAGAAATACAATTTCTTCCACATTGCTACTGCATATACATTTTAGCCAATAGTCTGAAATCTAAAAAAAAAAAAAAAAAAAAAAAAACAAAAA